ACCAAAAGGGGAAACGATGAAACAGTCTCTAGGACTGAGCAGAGAGACAAAACCCAGAAAACCAAAAACGAAAAAAAAAAAGGCTTGTGACTTGACAAACAATATCAGACTTTGCAGTAAGCCCTGCAACAATGCTGTTCATAAGGGCTGGTTCATTATTCAACCACTAATAATTAAATGGGCAGGGCATGTGTCACGGTCGGTTTGCATGGAAGCAGGCGAAGAAAGCTGTGAATACTAGAAAACGGGGTTTATTCAGGATAAACAGGTTCTAAACACGCAACGTTAATGACAGCCCTTGGGAAACAGACTTGAACACAGACTGAAATACACAAGACAAGCCATCTAGTTGGTTTACTTGGTTGAAGAGTGGAGGGGATCTTGGCAGTAGGTTGCAGGTGATGAGCTGAGAAAATGGTGGTTTTTGGTGTGGAGCCCCTTGGATTTTCACTCTTTGTGAAGCTTTAAGGTGAAAGGCTTTATCTTGGGGATGCTGTTCTCTGCTGGGTATAGCAGGCCTTCACCGGCAGGATTCAGGACGGGCTTCTCTACCGGGCTTCACAGTGTTCTGGCAATTTCTTGGTGGTTTTCTGGAGGGCTTCCTGCCTGAATCTGAGGCGGCAAGTTTTATGGTCTAAAGTTCATGAATAGGGATGACCAGGAACCCGACACCTGACCCAATGGCTGGCCGTCTAGTTGGCAGGCTTTCGGAGGGGTGTCTGTGGCAGTCCTTTTAGTATTTACGGCTAGACTGATGCCACTTTACCGATGATTTTCATTAAACTGGTGTAACTTTTGATACATACACTTTCATGGTAACCACTGACCAGATTTGAAAGGAGGAGTGATTTTCCATCAGTTTGACACTAAACATGCCATACCAGCCTGGGGTTCGCACCTCAAACCATCTATTAATTCATTAGCAATTTCACATCCATGTATAGTATAGGTGTTTTATGTTGCACATCAACAAAGGTTGAATTTACTTTGGATAAGTTGTACAGACACGACATTGCATATTCGCATTCAAACAGCACATCTTACCCTTAGATAGGCGTGACCGTTAGTTTGTTGCAATACCAATTTAAATTAAACATCTGGAAACGACACATTTTGGTTCGTGTGGCTTATTTCAATGATCTGCTCTCCAGGATTTATAATGTATACATTGATTCAGTCTTTAACACAGAGTAGTTGTAGACAAAGAAGTGTTAACGGACCACAAAGATCAGATAAGGGCCGACCGAGGAATGCAAAAAGGCGGGGTTGTTAGACAAAGAAAGAAAAGACCTCTGATAGTTAGAAGACTTACTAAGATACCTGGTTACATTATTTAATTTTCACGATACCTCTAGGATAAGCATGAGAGCATGTATGCAGGGGTGACTGTACATATATATATTTATCCATATCTATATAATGGTTCAAGTGAGAAGGGTAAAATAGGTGATACTCTATAGGTTATAAGGGTGCCACACAAAACACTAAGATTGTCTAAGGACACAAACAAACATAACCTATAGGATACTGAGACTAGCAATAATAAGTAAACACATATACAGGATATACAGGCCAAACTTAAAAGAGAGCTTTCTGTAGGGCGTTGGGTGAGGCTGTGGTTTGTAAGGCAGGATGGATGGGGAGGGGTTGCGTGCCAAGTTGAGGGACCCCCATCCTTGAGGTCAATTATGCTGTCCGTAGGTCCCTAAATCTTTGGGCTATTTGGGCCAAAGCTGGAATGATAGCCACCCTTGTTATCTGTGTATATATATGTGTGTGTGTGTGTGTGTGGGGGGGGGGGGTCACTAACCCCCCTTTTGTGCCTAGGCGTACCTCTCATTCCAGGCTGGGCCTTATCTCAAGCAACGTGGAATTTCAGCCCTGGCGTATGCGTGGGTGATCCTACAGCAAAACCAGGGCAGTTTTGACACTTGATCCCATTAAGACAATAACTCAAAAAGCATTTGCCACATCATTTCCAAACTTTGCAGACACGTATTATAGTACAGTGTTCATTTTGAGGCCAACTGCCCCAAAATTTAAGCACCACCACTTAGTGGCAGCACAGTGAAGGGTGAAAGCAGATGACATTTGACCTTGTAAATGTGATAAATCTGATGTATAGTATGTCTGCTTCAAAATATACTTTATGGATGAAGATCTACACCTGGTTTCATTTTCAGGCAAATTGCCCCAAAGATAAAAGGGGGATAACATTGCTCTCAGTGCTTGTCCTTGCTAGGCTTATCCTTAACAGGATCCGTGATCACTTGCTCGCCTATCAACCACCGGAACAGTCTGGTTGTATGTCTAAGCAGTCTACCATGGACTGCATATTGACAATGAGGGTGAATATTGGCAGAGCTTCTTTGCAGCCTTTGTCGATTTTCGTGACACATTTGACTCAGTTGATCAAGTTGTCCTGTGGGACATCCTGAGACTTCGCGGGATCCCCCCAAAGTTGATGGACGTCATGGCCGGCCTGCACACTGGTACCCTGTACACTGGTACCCTGTACACTGGTACTGTGAGTGCTGTGCAGAGTGGAGGGAGAACCTCCACGTTCCTCCTAGTTAATTCTAGGGTTCCCCAGGGGTGTGTTCTTGCTCCTACTCTGTTCAGTGCTTGCATGGACTGGGTGTTGGGCAGGATCGTGGGGTCTAGCACTTGTACGCCATCTGTTGATGAAGAAAGATTTACTGATCTTGACTTTGCCGACAATGCTGTGATCTTCCCAGAGTCAATGGAGGCTCTGATTGGGGCTCTCGGAAGACTGAGTGAGGAGACTGAGTGTCTGGGATTGAGAGTGCAATGGATAAAGACCAAGATCCAGGCCTTAAATGACTTCTTGGGCACAGCCATCAGCAGTGTGTCTGTCTGTGGGGAGAATGTCGACCTTGTTGAGAGATTTACCTACCTCGGCAGTGCCATTAATGTCTCTGGTGACTCTTCCTATGAAGTGAATAGACTTTTGGAAGAGCATGGGGGGTCATGAGGTCGTTGGAAAGGGGTGTGTGGTCCTCCCGATATCTTTGCAAGAGGACAAACGTTCAAGTCTTTAGAGTCTTGGTGCTCCCTGTCTTGCTCAATGGCTGTGAGACATTAACGCTATCCAGTGTCTCTTCGGAGGATCCTTGGGTACTGCTGGTTGGACTTTGTGTAGAACGAGCGGTTGCTAGAGGAGTCCCGAATGAGGCACATTACCTGCATTGTGAGGGAGCGTCAGTTATGGCAGTATGGCCATGTGGCGAGTTCCCTTGAGGGGAACGCCCACGAAACACCTTGCTGCAGCAGATGGATGGCCATTTCCGGAGGGTGGGACTATGTCTGCCTGGGGGGTTGCCCACCAGGATCCCGAGGAGTTTCACTGTGTGGTAGGCATGGCAACACATTGCATCAGCACATGCTCCCCAACCTGACCTGACCTGACCTGAATTTTTTGGAGGGGTGGGGACAGTGTGTAAAGTATAGGCTTGTAATATTGTAATAATAATATTTTTGTTATACTACAGTATTTCTATTTATTGTTTCTAAAATGTATTATGTGTGAACCCCCACACCACCACCACCACCAAATTGAATGGGGGAATTTAATTGTGTTACTGAGCAGTAGCCCAAGTGGTGATGCATGAAAGAAAATAGAGCCTGAGAAATACAAGAAACATTTCTGTTGAGATATAGTGGTACCTCGACACGAACTTAATTCGTTCAAGGTTCATGACCCGAAAAGTTCACTAAATGAATAATTTTTTCCCACTTTAAATAATGTAAATAGACCTACAAAAATTCGTTAAAACCTCAGAAACACTGAATTTTTTCAATTTTTTATGTTGTTCTGTGACCAAGAATATAGACTTAAGTTAAAATAACCTTAATTATACACAAATAATGCTAAATTAAATAAAACAGTACAACTGAGCATACGCTTGTTGGCGGGCTGGTCGCTCAAAAGACGCCAAAACACGGAAAAGAACCACAAAACATCCCCGCAAAAAAACATTAAAAGACTGAGTAACAGTCAAAAACAATACAGTAATATCTAAAATGTGATTTTTTTTATTATACTCTACATTATTTTCATATGCCTACAATTTTTATGTACATTTCGTGATGCAACGCGTTGTATGGCGATGAACTTCTTTGTTTGTACTGTAAACAAACAATATGCAGTTGCCACTATATGTGAATGGAGAATATAACACTTAAATTGGAGTTACTTAATAATTTATGTCATTAATGAAGTATTACAATTTTATGTATAGATATGTGACTGTTAAAAACCATCACAAACATGTTTATCAATCACTAAAAGGTACCGCTATAACAGAACGTTCTCTCTATATTTTTTCCTTTTTTCAGATATTCGACCTCTGAAGAGGTTTAGCCTATACATTCCACAACCGTTCTTGGGCGTAATGTACACGTCTTCGTGCTTCGGGTGCTTCTTTGGGGTGTTTTTGGGGGATGTTTGTGTGTTCGCAGCCTGAAACACGGTTCGCGAACCGGTACAACAAATTGCCGAACATCTGGTTCGTAAACCGATTTGTTCGTGAACAGTACTGTTCGTGGGTCGAGGTACCACTGTATTGATGTTTGTGATGCAGTGAGTTGACAATGTTAATACTCAGTACAGGCAAATTGTGACGTTACTTTATGGTGTGCTTTTATCTTTCACAGTTTCAGGCTATCCTATCACTTCTCTTTACTTTGATTATCATCGTTTAAGTATTACTCATGGGATTTTTTTTTTTCATTTTGGTGACATTGATTGTGCTCATTGATGGATTTATTTTGAAACTTGAGTTAAACATTTTGAATAACATTTTAAAGTCATACAAAATAAAGTAACAATTTAAGCTTAAGTAGTTTGTTCAGTTATATTATTTCTAACCATTGTTGAAACATTTCTACCACCTGCAAAGAAAACTGTAACGGAAATATACTATAAGCCTTTGTGGTAAAAGAGGGACTGCATGTAGAGGCTCAGAATTTGCATGGGGGAGGAGGCTTAATTACTAAGACACTTGATATGAATGATATTTTCTCCTGCTAAGTCTTAACAGGGATAGATGATAGTGCTTCTTTCACTGAAGAGTATGAGAAGTTGTTTTAGTCAGGCTTGGATCTAACCCATAAAAAACATGTACACTTTCATAGGTGAGTGATTCAGTTATTCTTAAATCAATTATAACAGCGCAATTCCATTTATGTGTGTAGATGTTACAAAAAATTTGTATGTAGACACCTTTGTCAAGTAACACTTTGCATTAGAGTAAGCGAAATGCCCGCTCTTTTTTTATAGGTATAAAAATAAAGTTCCTGTTTTATGTTCTATATTAAACTCAATATTTAAAGTCACTGATATAAATTATTCTTAATAGTAACTTTTTAGCCGATAGCTCTAAGATATCTTAGTTTAACTTATTAATAGGTTGTGTATACCTTTGTTTTGTTGAATTAATGCATTTGTGTGTGTGTGTTAAAGTTTCAGTGATGGACAAATTTTGTTTTGAATAATTGCCATGTTTAAAATAGGAAAGGGTATTTGTGGTGAATGATGCATTGCTTAAAAAATGAGCAACAATAGTTAAACTAGTTAAAAGTTATCCTGCACAACATATAAAACTGGTTGATACTGTAGGATGTTTCGTGCTCACCCAACGGAAACTAAAAATTCGAACCCTTTTTTAGCAGATGTTTTTCACAAAGCCATGCACAAGCATGACAGATAGTACATTACAAGCATGCAGCTGTCAAGTTGCCCACTAGGCATAAGACGTAGTAACAATTGCAAGTTAGCATTAGTCCAAGAGCTATAAAATCTATTACAAAAACACTACGAAAACCTCTGGCATCCAGTATAGATAAGAGATTAGGGATAGCAGATGAAGGTGGGGCTAGTCTGGATGAGCTAAGGCGTATGTTCCCAAAATAATGGATCTTGAGTCATTTTGTTGAGAGGGACTTTGATAACTGGATATGTGTCTCAGATACCAGTAACATAGTTTTATTAATGATTTAATCTCCATATTCTATTCTTTTACAGAAGCTACTCTTCCTGGAACTGTTTTTTTTATCTGTACTTTTTACGTCAAGGTAAACTTTTTATGCTTTAAAATACTACTTTACACAGGGTGTACTTAGAGTATGGAATATTTTTCTTGTTGTTATAGTACAAGTAAAAACCTTGGGTTCCCTTAAATCAGAGCTAGATAAGATTTTAACAACTCTGACCTATTAGCTGAATTCTCCCCAAACAAGCTTGATGGGTCGAATGACCTCCTCTTGCTTGTAAATTTCTTATGTTCTTAGGTTCTTATTCTATTTCATATTCATTTTGAAACACACACCATACATTTTTAAATTTAGCCAGTATTTGTGACTTATTTCACGTACCGTTCACCTGACCAACACACCTGCGTTCTCTTTTATCCAAATCTAGAAGTACTATTTGCTCTGTGGTTTTGAGGTATGTGTACAAATGTCCTTATGACAAAGGAAGTGGTATTAAGCTTTGCAAAGGTGTCTAGGGCTGTTGGAAGAAGAGGAATCTACACTGCATGTGTACTTTGATGCCTGCAAAAAAAACAGCCCCAGGCAGCAGTACTAGTCGCTGTTTTTAGTTTCAGTTGCAGACACAGGACTGTTGTATGAATGTGTAACGTGCAAAATCTCACAATCAGTCATGTTTTTCAAATGATTTTGAATTCATGGAAATGGAAACTGTAGAATCCACTTTATCAGTCAACACATGCGTAGAAGAACTTGTCAGAACATATTAGTATCCACTAACATACCACCTACACACATAAGCCTACCAACAAGTGATAAACTATTCTAGCTTTCTCATGCTGATCGATGGATGCATGGAAGGATGTAACAGTTTTAAGACAGTAAAGCCCTTTAGTATACTGAATCTTAGGTCTAATGTATATTTCTGACTAATGTATATGATGATACCTAATATATGCATACTTAAACATACAGGCATACTTTTAAAATGAGTTCTAAATCAAAATTAACCTTTTGTCTTTCCTTCAGACTTGCATGTCGCTGGAGAACGTGACAGAGAAAGGCCAAGCTGAAAATGATTACTCCACCGATAATTTTGACTACAGTGCTTATGTTACAGTGTGTGAGAAGCAATCAAACCGTAAATTCCGCAATTGGTTTATGCCCACTATTTACTCGCTTATTTGCTTTGTAGGCCTGGTGGGTAATCTGCTTGTGATTCTCACCTATGTTTACTTTAAGCGGCTGAAGACGATGACTGATGTGTACTTGCTCAACTTAGCAGGAGCTGATCTTCTCTTTGTGTTGACATTGCCCTTCTGGGCAGCGAGCTTCCTTGATGAGTGGATGCTAGGGTCATTCTTATGCAAAGCCATGTACAGCATTTACAAGGTCAGCTTCTATAGTGGAATGCTTCTGTTGACCTGCATCAGTGTAGACCGCTATTTTGCCATCGCTCGGGCTATTTCAGCTCATCGGCATCGTTCACGGGCAGTCTACTTCAGCAAGGTGTCCTCAGTTGTGCTCTGGATTCTTGCCCTACTCTTTTCAGTACCTGAAATGGCATACACTGGAATCAATGATAATCGTACTTGCGCAATTATTAATTCAGGTGAGAAAAATGTGCGAATGACTATCCAGATAAGCCAGATGATTGCAGGGTTTGTCCTGCCAGCTGTGGTGATGGGTTTTTGCTACTGTGGAATTGTGCAAACACTGATGCAGGCACAGAACTTTGAAAAGAACAAAGCTATCAAGGTCATTTTTGCTGTGGTGGCTGTCTTTTTGCTCTTTCAGTTGCCCTACAACATAGCTTTGCTGATACAAACAATCTCAGGGGGTAGTATGAAGTGTGCGTTTGACAACGAACTGCTTTTTGCTTTAGACATCACCCAGAGCCTGGCATTCACACGTTGTTGCCTCAATCCTTTCCTTTATGCCTTCATTGGAGTTAAGTTTCGTCACGACCTGTTCAAGTTGCTGAAAGACCTTGGCTGTGTGAGTCAGGAGCGTTTCTTCCAGTACACCACCTGCTCCAGGAAAAGGTCGTTTGACACTAAGGATACTGAAACCAGCACTTCTTTTTCTCCATAAACCCAGCAATCATATTGCTTTGGTACAAATGGTCACCATCCAGCTAAATATGCTGTAGCTCATTAGCTCCAGTATTGCTCAAATTTTAAATATTTAGCTAACAGTTCACATTCCCCATAAACCTTCAGGACACTAGATATGCAGCTATCCAAATATATAATACAAACCTGACATTTGCTTGAGACACTCCAATTGCACGGCCTTCTTATTTCCCTCTATCACTATACTCTGCTTAGTCTGTGTTTGTTTTCAAGTGTAGTGATATGTCAAGTGAAGTGATCATATGCATTATATTATATATTATTGCGGTGTAATAAAAAAATATGATTACTAGTTTAAAGAATATAATACATGTAATAATGTTTATACACATAAATGGTATTACTTGTATTGTTTGACAATCTTTTATTTTTCATCGTCTATTTTTACCTAAAACTTTTCTTATGCAATGAATGTAAAATACCTAAAGAATGGGTCAGTGTAAACATTGTGAAGATCTATACCAAATAGAATCCAATTATTATGCTCTTAAAATGTTTTAATCAACTGAATGTCTGGTTTCTTGGTTATTATCTTTAATTTCTAAAAATATAGATCTTGACAGCATATTTTAAAGCTATGTTAATGTTGGTTATGTGTATACAGGCTTATCATATTAATGTTAAATGTTTGTACAGCATGACAAAAAATATAGGTTAGTGCGCTCAGAAATGCAAATGATATCTGTAATGAATTCCATTGAAATAATGAAATATGTGTATTACTGTGTTTTTGCAAATAAACAAATAATCAACTCATATCCAGTTGTTTTGTTTTAGAAAAAAGTTTTGTAATTTCTTACCTTATGGTGTGTGTGTGTGTGTGTGTGTGTGTGTGTGTGAGGACTGTGTGCAGGGCAAATGAGCAGGGAGCGGGGAATCAGGATCGAGCACACGGAAATCCAAGAACAGTGTTTATTGCAGGCAGAACACAATTACACGGGGAACACGTCAATGACCTGACTGGGGAAACAAACTTGAACGCGGACTAAATACACAGGACTAGTCAGAAATAACACAAAACAGCTGCATACAATCAGGAATTGACACAAGGTAACGAGGCACATGGAAGGATCGTACGAGCAGATCATGACAGTGTGTGTGTGGTCCAGGTTTATCTTACATTGTGGGGACCAAATGTGATAAAAAGCTGTTATTTTGATGCTGTGGGGAATGTTTTTTCAATCCCCACAAGGAGAAATGCAGTTTTATAAAAATCTGTGACTGCAATCAAAAAACTAAAAATGCCAAAAGTCTCGTATTTTGTTTGGTTACTTGTGGTTATGGTTAGGGCTGGGTAGGGGTTATGGGTGTTGTGACTGGGATTATGGTTTTTCCTATAGAAATGAATGGAAGGTTCACATTCAGATAGGTATGCCAGTGTGTGTGTTTGTGTGTTCATTTGTTTCTAAATTAAGAGTGCAGATTTTAATGATGCAGATTGGATGTCTGTCCTGATATTGGCTGGGTAATGTGTTAGGAATGAAAGGATGCCACATCGTTTGATGGAAATGAAAATTATCAACCTACAGAAGGCTGAATTCAAAGACACCCCGAAAATCAAAGTGATAAAATGATGCGGCAGGCTAGTCCATTCTGCAGAACTTGTGGTAGCCCAGGTTAAGAGACCCCAACAGCTATTTATTTTGGTTACTTTTAAGTTTTTTTAACCCCTTTTGGATCTCCTGGAGCACAGTCAACAGAGAGGAAACAGTCGCAGGTCGTAGTGAGTTTTTACATACACATTTAATGCACAAGGGTATTGCTTCTCAGCCTGGATGCAACCCTCCCTGGTCTGGACCCCCCCTCCCAACACACCCGTGATGGACACAGCAGCCTCTTTTAGCACACAGCACTACACACTACCGTACACAACAAATAGTTCTTTGTACTCTCAGCACTGCACCCTCCATGAAAGCACAGCACACCTAAGATTATACTAGGGGATGGGGGAAACACTACTAGGGGCACAGCACAAGACAAGAAAAACACCCACATTCAATAAATAATAGTGCACAAAATTAAGGCACAAATAACAATAACAAACTTAATAGTCCGGGGGCTTTGCACCCTCACCGCGAGGCCATCGCTAAACCAAAATAAATCACCAAAACTAACAAATCCTCTGGCAGCACCCAACGTCCCCTTGTGTTCTGTTGCTCAGTCCTGGGTCTCTCGAGTCCCGATTTTCCAGCTTGGCCCAATGGTAGCACTTCCGGTACTGGCGTCTTTCCTTCCAGCCAGTCCGTCCCGGTTACTGCTCCACGTCGCCTCCGTCACGTCACGGACCCCAGACCCTTCTCTTTTCCCCCTCGAAATGCTCACACTCTGAATTAACTGCAGCCACTTCCCTTCATGCCGGCTTAGGGATCGCGGGGGGTCAGAGTTGCTCTCTTTCCCTGTCTCTCTCGGTGCTGCTCCAAACAGCTCCGGTGCTCTCATTCGCCCGCTGCAATCTGAAACCCGCACACACAAGAGAGGAAGGGAAATATATCCTGTGGCTGCTGCTCCTGCTGCCGCTTTTCCATCGGGACTTGGACTACCGCGCCATGATCCACTCGCCTCCGGGCCGTCGTCGTCGTCCTTGCAGCAAGTCGCAAAACCACATTATAAGAAAGTCCAAACGTTTAGTCCTTCTGCAGCATTTCGGGAACACGTCCTCCGCAAGCGAGAGCGCCCCAAACAATGGTGGCCGCCATCTTTGAAAGTCCCAAGCCCCGCCCCACCAGCTCGTTGTCATGGAGCCGGCCACTCAATTGCCCAAGGGCAGAGCTACCCTGGACCCACCTAGCTGTTCAGGGCACTGCCAGAGCAAAACAAATTAAAAAAAAAGACAGACACAAATACCCCATCACCATGACAACGCATATACATAAACACAAAATGGTGCTCATCGCGTCAGGACACAACAAACTTTCATAGCAGCAACTCAAAATCGTATGCAGTACTTTGTATGGCTCCCACAGGCTTGTATGCATGCCTGACAATGTTGGAGCATGCTCCTAATGAAACGACGGATGGTGTCCTGGGGGATCTCCTCCCAGATCTGCACCAGGGCATCACTGAGCTGATACTGGGTAAGTATCAGGTAAGTATGAACTAAAAGAAGTAGACAGAGAGCAGAGTCACATTCACATGTTTTACTCCAGAGAAAACCCAGAAGCCCGCCCCATTGTCCCATCCAAATGGGTCTGTGATGCAACATCAATGTAACTCAACTATATTCTTTACAGAACACCTCCCCCTTAAGTAAGAAATCCCTCTAAACACCAAAACAGAGTTTACAGGTGACACACTCTAACAGGTATCCCAAATGCATAAACCTAAATTACATAGAGACAATGGGTTTCCATGTTCCATCTGACTGCTGCTGGGTTAGGACACCCCCCAGTCCAAACGATGAGGCATCAGCAGAAACACACGTTTCAGCTGTTGGAGAATAGGCGGCCAACACCTGTGTGGAACTCAGTGCCATCTTTAGTCTTTGGAATGACTCCTTCTGTAGCGCTTCCCAACACCACTCGTTCTTTCCACAGAGCAAGTCTTTGATCGGATGTGTGTAAGATGCAAGATGTGGCAAAAACTTACTGAGGTAGTTCGCCATTCCCATCAATCTCTTCACCCCTTTGATATCTGTTGGTGTCGGCATCTCTTGTATTGCTCTAATCTTCCCTGAGTTAGGCGTCACACCGTCCACAGTGACACGATGGCCCAGGAATGTTATGCTGTCTTTTGCAAACTCATATTTCTCACCATTTAAAGTCAGTCCCCCTTCCTGGAGTTCCTTTAGGACCTGACGCAGTCTCTCATTGTGCTGAGCCTTTCTTCTCTCCATACACAAGAATGTCATCGGCATGACACACCGCGCCTGCACATCCTTCCAGCATCTGAAACATGCTGAAAGTGTTCTGGTGCGGAGGAAATTCCAAACGGCAAGCGATTAAAGGCATACCGCCCAAACAGGGTAATGAAAGTTGTCAACAGCTTGCTTTCTTCTGTCAACGGGATTTGCCAGAAGCCGGAGGTGGCATCCAGCTTTGTGAAGACTTTCGCCCCCGCCAGCATTCCCAGTGTATGGTCTACTGCTGGGAGGATGTGTCTTTTCCTCAGAACCCACTTGTTTAAGTGTTTTAAGTCCACACACAGCCATACCTTTCTGTTAGGCTTGGGCAATAGGGCCATGCCTGCACTCCATGGTGTAGGTTCTGTCACCCTGGAGATGACATCCATACTGTCCATATGGTCCAGCTCTGTTCTTACTTTGTCACGCAGAGGGAGAGGCACACGCCGTGGAGAAGACAGGCATATGGGACGGCATCCGGTTCCAACGCAATTGTGTAGGGCTCCTATAATTCCCCTAGCCCTGAGAATACAGTGGGGAACTGAGCTTTGAGGTTCTCCTGCTGGGCTTCCACTTTATGGACGCGCCTTAGCAGCTTGAGAGCCCTTATTGCAGGGAGACCTAAAAGAGGCTTTGACAGTTCATTAACAACATACAAATTTTGTTTAGTTGCTCTTTCTTTACTGGTCAGGTTCCCTTCAAAACATCCTTCAACATCGAGTCTGTGATGCCCCGCTCCATACAACACCAAACTAGATGGTCTCAGTGCACCATGTATTTTACTGGAATAAGTACTGCTTGGAATTGCAGTAACTGCAGCTCCCCTATCCAGTTTGAATGTAGTGTCCTCCCCGTTCAACTGCAACACTCCAATCCGTTCCTCTTCTCCTTTTGATCTCACTTCTCCCAAAAAAGCAAATTCCTCCTCTTCACCGCTCTTGTACCCCTGTGTAATGTCATGCACAGTCTTGGCTGACCTGCATTTTCTAGCGAAATGTCCCTTTTTATGGCATTTCCTACATTCCACCTCCCGGACCGGACAGTCTTTCCAGAGGTGTCTCTTGACATTACCACATTTGCCACATCCTGTCGACTGACTGTCTGTTTTCTCATGTAAAACTTTTTTTCCTTTGTGGGGTTTTTTGTATATTGCTTCAACTTGTCCTGCTGTTGGCTCAGCCCCCCTCAGCACAGACTGTTGCTTCTTCACTGCTGCACTTTGTCTGACTTTGGTCTTTGCTTTTGCTAGTGTCAGTTCTGGGTCTAGCTGTAAACTTTCCGACAGCTTAGCATCCGACCACTATTCTGTCCCTTGTCAATTCTTCTCTCAGAACTCCGAACTGACAATGTTCTGCAAGCGTGTGTATAGCAGTTATGAAAGACTCAACACTCTCACCCGGCTGTTGACTCCTGCAATTGAAGCATGCTCTTTCGTAGATAACATGCCACTTGCTGATGCAGTGTTTTTCAAATTCCTCCATGACTAACTTGTATGACTCTCTCTGCCCTTTGGTCAGAGGTAGAACATTGAAGATGTCTTCGGTCTCGTCACCCACCGCGTACATAAAGTCATTCACTTGAAACTCCTCTGACTGTTTGTCCAGTCCTGATGTGACTCTGTAGCGTTTAAACCGCTTTATCCATCTTGGCCAATCATTAGTGTTCGAGAAGTCAAACTTGCCTGGCGGGAAATACTGCAGGGCTAACTGTGGCTGTACCTCCTGTTGCTGCTGTGGTGCTCGGTCTTCCATATTTCTTTCGTCTTCTTCCTTTCTTTTTTTTTCAGTATTTCGTCTTAACATCGTTCTACGATCCCACTCCTGACACCATGTTACGGTATCACAATACTGGGTAAGTATCAGGTAAGTATGAACTAAAAGAAGTAGATGGGGAACAGAGTCACATTCACATGTTTTATTC